ATAATGATAACAATAATAACTTATTCTACAGTTTTCAAAATGATAAAATGTAGTATTAAATTCTACTACAATGAATAAATCTATAGTGGAAATGATATAAATTTTAAAGGAAGAATTTAATGATATGCAGATCTGCATGCGGTTACTACTGGTGTATATTTGTATTTTCATAGGTCTTGTTAGAAGGAATACAAATGCCTTAAAGAGCCTTTTGCGAGAATTATGGTTTACCATGTATTCTCGTGGAGGTGGTAAAATGGGATCGAGTGCTTTTGAGCATGTCTTTCTTGCGGAGTTGAAGAGAGGAGAAATATCAGGAATGCATAATTGGATATTTTTTAGTTTTGAAGAAGCTAGAAATACTGCAGATTACATGGGATATATAAGAAAACTGGAACTGGGAAATGTAAGTTAACTATAATAATTCTATTATATATTATTGTTTTATTTTTTTAGAAAAAAGATAGAGCGAAAATTATACTAAACATTTATGCTTTTTTCTAAAATTGTGAATTTTGTTTGTTTTCATAGAAAGGTGCTATTGCAAAGATTCATTACAAATGGTCAAATGTGGTGAAACCTGTGGGTTCAATGTTTGTGGGTACTAGCCCTGAATTGGAAATGGCATTATATACTATCTGCTTTCTTACGAGGCCAGATGATCGATGCCAAATCACTTTGGGAAACAAAGTTGTGACAATCCGAACTCATACGTTCCGTTACAGAGGGAAGAATTTAATTGGAAGTGCTTTTCCAGAAATTTAAATCAAGTCAACTCTACTATCTCTTTGTCACCGAAATTCATTACCATTACTGTAAGATGGTTTGAAAGTCATTGAATTATATTGTGATTATGCTTCAGATCAAAAAATTCATTGTTTGTCTGTTGAACGTTCACTTTTGATGTGTTTGAACTATTTTTTATTCTTTGAAATATATGAAAAAAGTTTGATTTTCTTTTTTGTTTTTTTTAATATATGTATGTAATATAATTATTAAAATTGTATATAAAAGTTTTCAGTATATCATGGATTAACAACCTTTCAATTTCCTGTCTACTTAGTTAACATTAACGCACAGATAAGGATGATCGATGATTTTTTGTAGATTTGCATTTGTAAGATTTATTCAGGACTTGCCAGATCATGTCAGATTACACCACATTCATTTCTTTTGTAGTTCTACAAAATATAGAACAGTCTCAAATGGATAGTACTTTCTAGTCAAAAAGTGATGATTTTGTTTTTAAACGCAATGAAAATTTAAAAATTTGTCATAAGTTTCAAGACTAGGATGTGACGTAACTTAAATAATTGTTAGTTTCTTAGGAAAAAAAAGAACACTGATAATTCCCTAAATCGATTGCAAATCGTGTATGAAAGAGAGAATTGATTGGAAGGGCCAGGGGTGTTCTTGCCCACTCATCTCCAGAGTTAGACGTCTCCTGCAGGAAAACTATAATAATCCATCAGATGTGTTCAAGGGTGGGCTAATAAATGATACTCAAGAAACTTGAAAAAGAGATTGCCGAAGAGCTCTCAGGATTAAGCAGACATCTGTGAAAGTAAAGAATGAGTGTCATTTTCAGCTGCACAGATTCACCACTCCAACGCCTGATAAAAATTTTCATTCTGCACTGCATCATTCCACTTGTAACTATCATGACTCTCTTTATATTAATTAACACTTACAAATTGTTAAATGAAATAATACGAGAACAGCAATAATAGATGAGACTCGACGATACATGCACATACTCTAGGTAGTACTTTTTATTTCCCCACCAGCCCAAATACAAATAGTTGCACATTATTTTGTACGTAGGGTACCATGGTCTACAAGCATTAGAGAAGCTGCGCCGGGGAGGAGGGGTCCTCCTCTACCTCACACATCGAGAATTTCAACGACCCTAAGCGCTCTGCACATAAATTAAATGAACCTTCACAGACTAGATCGATTTTATAACCCAATGATCAGTCATTACAAATACTGAATTGATACTCAAGCTTGCTCCCCGCAAAGCCATGCACCGCCCTTCCGGGCAGGCAACAATTACCACATGAGTGGTCCCCTTTCTTGTAACACTTCCAACTCGCTCATTCACACAAAACATTTTCGCTTGGCCTACACTCAAGGTCACTTATCTACACAAGCACACTTTAAAATCCTACCAAAGCATCAAGCGTCGTTCTTGCACCTTTAATGACAGACCAGAAAAGCTCCCTTCAGGCTGCAACGCACCAAAAAAACCACCATTTATTTTCTCGACGCATCGTACACAGACAACGGCCGCGCGGCCCGCGGGGACACTTCCGAAGCGCTAAACATCAAAACTCGCAAAGAAATCTGCAAAAATCAAGAAGAAGTCGAACTGTAACTGTAAAACAGCACCGCATTGCTAATCACTCGACAGCTATCCGCAAAACAAAATCACAGGTAGACAGACGATTTATTCCCACCACACACTATTGGGTGATCGTAATGGTTCTTACGAAACATTAGGGTGAAATTTCCCCAAAAACACTATATTGAGCGTCAACGCCCGGAACCACCGAGCAGTTTCGTGAACAATTCGAACTATAAAATTATGTTCAAGAAGTCGTATTTTTTTACAGTTTACTATGAAATTAATCCAGGCTTTGCTTTTTTTAGTAACTGTACTAAGTTACGCATTTTGCTCACCACCCTGCCCCACCGAAAGGTTCCACTCTAACACAC